ACGAGAAACTCTTCTTTATAATTAATTCCAAAATCTTATTGTAAAAATTTCAATATTCCAATTTTATCTGGACCCTTAGTCTGTTTATACCTTTCTAAGACCAAAATCTTAGCTTTTTGCTGCTGATTTCAGATTCTTTAAATTCTTAAGCTTTTGATTAAAATGTTCTTTCATTCAGGATTGAAGGCAGACTCACCCAGCACTCTCCAACCTGTCATTCCAAAGATCTCTTAATAGCTTAAAAGTAGTTAATGATAATAATCTGAAATAATAATCTGAAAGGGATTAGAAAGTGAGGTTTGCGAATTTAGCATCCTTTAAAAGTCTCCACCGCAATTGTTAGCAAGATAGCTAATCCCGTTGTCTCCCAGTGCTCAAACCCGCGGAAAACTGCTGTCCTGTGGTCTCCTCACAAGGAGCAGCCATCTGGAGCACATGTGGGTGATCTCCCATCCTCTCCTCTGGTCTACTCACTGGTTTCTTGGTCTTTGCCATGGTCATTGGGTCCGCTTTTGCAGAGCTGTCTTCAGTTCGCCATTCCTCACCCGGAAGTCATTTTTTGTTCTGATGTTTGATTCCAGTTGCTGTTCCTCATTTATAATGAATTGTTTTACAGAAGTACACTTTCATAGATAATAAAAGCAAGTTTGTCTGCCATTCTAATACTCATGTAACATGATTTGGACGTGGCTTAACATCAGTTACATTTATTTGCCTTTCCGCTTTTTGCTTTAAACATATTGTAACACACTATACACATTTTATATATCCTCAACTGGCGTAGTAAAAATATAGTTTTAATAAGTATGTAGGATTCTTTTTAGTTTAACAAGATGGTTTTCGCTTTTTGCAGTATATCTATTAGATTTCCTTGAGATTTATAACTTACCAGTTTTGTGTTTGTATTATCACCCTCATAAATAAGATGTAGCTTGAGCCTTTGTTATATTAAAACATATTCACTAATTTTATGACACAAAACATGAAACCAGCAGCCTCTGCTCTTATTTCAAGGCCTATGTCCTACATATGGAGCCTTGTGTATTTTAATACTGAAGATGAACAATTATGTTTTTGAAGAGATTTTCCTTTTGTACTTGCTAACAGAATACTTTTTTGTTAAGTTTTGCTGACATTTAGGCAACATCTGTCAACTTAGCTTCTTCACAGTGAGTTCATTCGTATTTTCCTATAATAAGCTACTGTAGACAGACTTGTAGTATTTTTGCACAAAGGCACCATCTTATATTTCTTCTTCATTGCTATTTGAATCTGGTTTGAAATCTGCTTGAATATTTTGCTCCTTTTAAAAGCAGATTAGTTAAAATTTAATTATAATAAATTATAATAAACCAAATATAATGTTCTAAATTTTAGAATAACTCCATTGGCATTATAGACCTTTTTAATATGCACACTTTTAAAATTCACTGAACAAGAATCATTAAGAATTGCTACAGGTTTATTAAAACATTGGCATTGACTACCTGATGTAGATATGTCTTACACCACAGTTTTGATTGAGGGTGCCTGCCAACTCTGAGTGGAATGCACTGAACTTTGTGAAGAGAAGACTTGCTTTTCATCTTCTGCGACATTTTCTTTTGATGAGAAGTTCTGTAGAAGGGAGAGTTTTGCTGCTGATTGGATAGAAGTATCGTGCATGGAAATATAGTGTGGTTGCTTTCTGAAGCATAGAATTTCAAGAGGCAAATTGAGGAGTTGAATTAGTAGCTATCCTTTCAAATCAGCTGCATGTCACTGGATCTGTTGTTGAGGCACTTCTTATTAATCCGAAGCACTAGAAGGCCTTTGATGTCTGCAGCCAATATACCGGCTTCAGCCCTTGTCCTGTCTCTTTCTTTCGGGTCTGGAAACTTCGAATGTTTGTCTTCTGTGACTTACAAGGGCTAAGCCTACAAGTAAATGGAGGGAGTAGTAGATGATTAGCATCCCATTAAGGACAACAAATTGATACCCATTTTATTCTTATAATCCCATTGACTGCAGCTCTATGTTCTCATATTCTTTTTTCTCTAAATACTGCCTTTGTATTTTCTTAATTCATCCTTTTCTGTATTTCCTGATCGATGCCCTGCTATAATTTTCCATCCCAGATCTTTTAACATGCTAGATCCATAACTCTGAATTACCTCTGTTTAGATATCTCAGTTATGGCTTTTAATGTCTAGTAGTGCTGTTTTTTTTGTTTTTTGTTTTGTCTGCGCTCAGTCATTACTGACCCTGCAGTGACTGCTTGGGC